CATTACTACAAAATGCACCATGTGCATATTTCAAATGAGACAACAAAAATAGATTCTCTTGGAAAAGCCGATCTCTAATGCCCCCTTAGAAAGCCTAATTTAATTTTGAAAGAAAGTCACACAATTTCCAGATTCAGCCCTCTCATCTGTGTAATGGGGACATTTGATTGGAACATCATAGCAGTTCTTGGGAATACTGGCTATGAAACAGAATATTTCAATATTCATAAAGACCTTATTTACACAAAATAATACTCCTCAAGAAATGAAGTGCATGAAACATAAGCAAATCTGTCCAGAAATTTCTACTATAGATGATGTTATTTTCCTAGGGAAAAAAAGCAGTCCTTTCAGGGTGACTAATAAGCAATCATATCTATCACCATTAGAAGGGTTGATTATATATATAGAAGTCATCCATTATTACTGCTGAGAAATGTGTATGTTACACACACAAGCCTACACACACTGTCATACACCCACACACACTCTAAAGATTTCAGAGAAATCTCCATCAAAATATGCCTTCCATTTAATTTTATGTAAGATTGAAAGATGTGAGTGAAGCACATTACTTATGTTCTGTATAAAAGAATGATTCATTATTATTTTCTTCAACCATAACTCAATAATTGGTGAAGTATTTAATCTTAACCTAAAGAAAACTAGAATAAGAGCCAGGGAGCTTAGCTGGGTAAACTTAGGAAGTCATTTAATCTCTCTTTCAGGTCTGCCTACCTCACAGAGTTGCTTCACAGATGAAACATTGATAGAAAAGTTCTTTGGAAAAGTAAAGTAACATAAATTCTAGATAGTGTTTCTTTTGTTGTTACTCCATGAAAGTGAACCATTAGAAATCTGATGCCAAACGTGGGCATACACTCAGCCATAAAACATAGCCTTTTGAAACATTCACTCTGGATAAAACATCTTTTGTTTTTTCGCTAGTATCATATACTATGCTGCACATTAAACAGGATACACTGAGCTCTGTAACGTAGGATGTTAAATGCTATAAAAATAAATTTTAGACTATTGGCCTGTTTAAGGAGTACATTTCTAACTTCTCCAGACTACATTAAAACACAACACAATTCCTTGTAACTTACAAGTGATTGGTTAATTTTCATATATTCAGTGTGTAAGAAAAGTGTCCCTTCCCATCCCTGCCTCACTGTTGCTTCCAGATCTCTATAGCACTAAACTGTAAGCTAGTCATGGGCAGGAGTTTTTCTTGAATGATTCACCTCCTATACCCAATAACTATAATAATGTTACTTAGCATGTGTTAGCTAAAAGAAAGGTCAATTTTACTTGTCTAAATTTTAGGTGTGAGTTTATTCATTCATTTAGTCATTCATTTAATAAACATAAACCAAGTGCCTATTATGTATCCATTTTGATAACTCTTAGGGTTTTAAAAAAGGAGAAACAGGCAAGCAAATAAGTACTCATAGATATGCTTTAAAATAGCCTTCTACAAAATGTTATGAAAATATAGAAATAAAATAACTTAATTCCATCTGGGGAAGCCAGAAGTCTCTTGAGTAGATGACAAATTGAATCTCGGATAATCAATAAGAATTTTGTTGAAGAAAATAATTGGGTATTAATGGAGGTAATAATATTATTGAGAAACAATTTTTATGGAACCCTGGCATATCTGCATGTTTTATTAGCAAGGCACTGATTGCCTTTCTTTGAGAATATGTTTTCAAGAATGTTTGTCTAGCAAACAGCCATAGAAAGAGAAATAGTATCTCCCTCTAAGGTAAAGGGCATGTATGCCTACAGCCCATTATGAAATTCTGAGGTTCCCCAAGTGCAGCTCCTGCAGTGTGACCCACTGCATGTGCTGGTGTTACCTGGTCCTCCTCTAGTTTCTCATTTTTAAATGGGTTGTCTTTCATACGTGTTGACTATGTGTGATTTGAGAGCCCTCTCTTAGTGATCTTTAGTCTCTTCCTAAGCATTACTATCTCTGTATTGACTTTTTTTTTTCTAATGAGCTTAGATATGCACAAACAATGCCTAGTAGGCAAATCCAACTAAATGTTATACAAGCATGTAGAATTCAATAATTCAAAAATAAGCTAATTATCTCCCCACCAGAACATACCTCTCCCCAGATATTCCCCACTACATGCTGTTCCTTACCTTCTTCTTATATATAATTGGACTGTTTATTACTGGTTCTACTTTGGCATATCCCAGTCCCAGCCCAATGCATGACATATGGACTGTGCTCAATAATTACTTGTAGATCACATTGGATGATTTCTTCTGTCACTTCTGTCACTGGCTTAATTCAGATAGTCTCGAAAGATTAAATAGTAACATTAGATTCAAAAACAATATCAAGTGAACACATATTCTGCTTTGATTGAAACGGCCATAATTGTTAATGATCTGTAATTTAATTTATTCAGATTACTTGTTAATAATGCCAGCTACACACATTGATGCAAAGAAAGGTCTTCAGTTCTTCAACTGTATTTAGGAGGCATATGTTTAGTACCTTAAAAAAATTATGTACCTTTTTTTTTCTTTTTTTGGCAAATATTGTCATTGAGGAAAAGAGAACTCTTCTTCCATGTATGTGCCAAGCTAACTGTTGTTGAAATGCAGTTTCAAGAAACAATCAGTGCTAATAAGACCATATGGCTTAAGATTGCCTAGTTTTGTTTTTGTTTCATTCCTGCCAACTGAAGACTAGAAATAAGAAGAAGGAGGAGTGAGCTTTTCTTATTCACCTTCCCATGTCATACCTTTTATTTATTGTTCAGTTGAAATTATAGACACTTTGTAAATTAGGCATGATTTCATTTTGTCATCCAAATGGAGTCTAAAGCTGAGGAACCCCAGGCCTTCCTCTCATCCCTCCACTCTCTCAAGTTAACTTCCTGCATCACAACCTGCACAGAAAATGCAGAAAAGAAATTTCTTTTTCTTCTAGATTGCTTTTTTTGCTTATTGAATTGACTAATTTCATGGAAATTGTGGAGAGTGGTCTGTAAACATTGTAAAGGGGACCATTTAGATTCTCTTGCTGAGAGCTCAGAATGCTGATAAAACCTGTAACAGCTCTGGGCCCTAAAAATGGCCTTTTAATATTTTTTGTTCCACAGACTTGAATTTGGTTCTGCATTCAAAACAGCCACCTTGCCCATATATGCTGTAATTTTTACAAGGACAGAGTGTGACAATATAAACTGGTTGGCTTGGATTCATCATTCCTGATAAAAGACAAAAACAAGCAAACAAAAACCTCTGAAGTACAGATTCTGTGGTTCCTGGCTGATTCTGTCAACTATCCACTTAAAGAACTTGATGATGGGTTACCCAAACTTAACTTGGCTCAGAGGTACCAAGAGATTATGTTGGTACAGTCTGAAAAGATGGAGTATGCTTCTGACTTTAACTGCAATATACAATTTCAAAGGCTCTTTCATTTTCCCCCTGTTTTAAATAACAGCCTTCTAAATGGGCATATTTAGAAGGCAAATATATCTTCTAAACTAGATCCATAGTACCTAGTGTAGGGGCAGAGGTTTCAGAAACCAGACCATTTACCATCTCAGATTTTAGCAAAAGGTAGAACAAGGGGTTGCTACATTTGGCTGGAGCTAGGCTGCTCCCAGCGGGTTATTGTGGTATAGGTTCCACTAGGGGTGGGTCTGTCTTTCAGGGAGCAACACTTAGGTGGTAACTGTGCTGTGTGACCTAGAGAAAAAGTAAGCAGCACATTGTCTTTTCTAGCCTCAGTTTTCTGGGCCCAATTCCCAAAATCAAATTCATGTTCAAGTTCAAAGTATAGAGGGTGGCATCCTGTATACCTCTTCATGGAAGTAGAAGTAGTCTTTTAACTTAAAGAGGTATTTATTTATTTATTTATTTATTTAGACAGGGTCTTATTGTGTCACCCAGGCTGGAATGCAGTGGCAGAATCACTGCTCACTGCAGCCTTGATCTCTTGGACTCAAGTAATCTTCCCACCTCAGACTCTCAAGTAGAGTAGCTGGGACTACAGGATACACCACCACCATGCCTGGCTAATTTTTGTTTTTTTTTGTTTCTTTTTTTTTAAAGAGAGATGAGATTTGACTATATTGCCCAGGCTGGTCTCAAAATCCTGGGCTCAAGCAATCCATATGCCTTGGCCTTCCAAAATGCTGGGATTACAGGCGTGAGCCACTGCGCCCAGCTTAAGATGTAATTAAGAGAAATTAAGATGTAAATATCTATCTATCTATCTATCTATCTATCTATCTATCTATCTATCTATCTAAATCTATCTTTCTATG